TCCAACTGATGATAAGTGACTATTGTGGCCCATAGATGCCTCCATCTATCCTCGATTAGGAATCAAAATGCAGATAAGTTGTTACCTCTGAGGACCAAGATGAATGTCAGTAAATATGGTTTCTGGTTCTCGACATTCACAATACGAAACATAGCAGCATTTTATGTTCAGCAGACGCATTCGTGTTATAACCACATTACTGCAGCGTGGCTCTACCACGTGATAAATAATTTTTCTTGGGACATTAATTCATAAAAGAAATGTAGAGTTGAGGGAGCGGAGAGCAGTTGGAAAACCATTGCTTGAAGTCCTTCAGAAGCTGTTTAATTTCTTCCTCCATGGTGGCATTACTCTGGGGGCGTGGAGCAGAAGTGCGGTGGTTTCAAGAAAGGCGACAATAGTCTCTTGTAGAACTACAGATCGATTTCCCTTCTTAGCCGCGCCTATGTGCTGTTTTCGATGATATCCAGCCTCTCGAATAAGCCGGTTTCTGAAAAAGCTTTAGTATCATAGACCATATACATACCCTACGTAAATTGTACAGAAGAGCAAAGAGTAAAATCTGCCACTTTGTCTTGCATATGTGGACTGATGTGATGTGATGTGTCTCCCAACGGATAGATATTAAAATGAACTTGGACAAAACAAAAGTCATGTGTAACGTCCATGTCACACCTATGCCATTAGTTGTTCGGAGCACTGAGAACGAAGTTCGTTAACTTACGAAGTATAATTACCTGGGACAAATAGTCCCATTAGGTAAGTCCAAATTTGATCGAGAGTTATATCGACGGATTCAATCGGCTGGGTGGCGTTCGGAAAATCACAACAAATCTTCTTAATGACTTATGGATCTGAGACGTGGTCCTTCACTGCTGGCCGTATGAGGACGCTCAAGGTCGGTCAGCGAGCTATGCTTCTCCTTATGCTATGCTCGTAGTTTCTCTACGTGATAAACAAACAAAGAAAATGGTTATCCACTATAGAACCAGAGTGACCGACACAGTCCAACGTATTAGTAAGCTGAAGTGGCCATTAGGCTGGCCATATAGCTAGAAGAACAGATAACCGACGGAGAAAAACGGAGCGACGGCCTGGTACGATATGCAGGAAGTCGATGGATGCAGGTGGCTGAGGACCGTGCTTTGTGGCATTATTGGAGGAGGCCTATGTTCAGCAGTGGACTTGTGAAGGGTTGTAATGATGATGATGATGATGTAACGAGTTACAAATAATAAAATAGAACACAGGTCGCTTTTAATGATGATAATTAATTTGATTTTTGCTATTAAATCAATGTTTTAAATCTTTGTGATATTTTAGGGAAGCGAATAGCTTTAAAGGTTTAAACAACAAAACATTGCGAAAAAATCGACTAATGATCAGAAATTCGTAGAAAAAGATAATTAGCCAGGCTAGAATAATTGATTTACGTCTACGAACCGAAACTTTTCTTTTGAATACATCGATGCTTCCGGATCAAATAAGCTACAGTAGGTTTCGGATTATACAATGAATGATAAGTATTTCGACTAAGCCTAATTGAGAGCCCCTTGAGCTTAGAGTAAACCTCGTAAATATGATCATATTTGAAAACTCTAAATTAGCGAACTTAGTGGTATAGTGAATTTTTAAAGACGCTTTTCTTTATGGAACTATTCTTTGTTAAGATTAAAATTGCATGCATTGGAATAAACGAGGATATGCTGGATACATGGACCGAGCTGGTAATAATTTTATTTCCCATTTGTTACAGGGTAATTGGGGAATTTTCCAATATTGTAAACTTATAGCAAATTCCATCCATTGCATTACAGTCTATTAAAGTTCACTGCTGAACATATGCCTCCCACATAAATAATCCTCACAGGGAGGATATTATCACAGTTGCCACGCTTCGCAGGTGGGTTGGCAACGGAAGGTTTTTTATTCGTCTCATTATTACCAACTCCTATGTATATATAGCTATAATTTATGAGATTACACTGTGATTATCATAACTATTACTTATATATATTGCTGTTTTTAAAAATCATTTCAATAATAGCTCACGTTCAGTTTAAATCATATAGCATAAAGTTGTCTGTCATGGTATTTAAAATGCTGCTATATATTTTCTACGTTCATAATTACATATACTTAAAAATACACGTGCTGCTCCTATAATATATAAAGAACCCTACGAACCTTGAAATAATACATTTTGTTTTTCTCCATCTGCTGGACATGGGCCTCTCTTTAACGATCGCAATATTAGACGCCTCAAACTATGGAGTGTAAGTAAGGAGTACAGACTCTGTATAAAAAAGTGTCTGTAGGAAAGCGCTAAATAAGGGTGGCGCCACTGTAGCTACATTCAAAACTTTAAAGAACTTTTTATAATTTATTTATTGCACAGACTTTCACCATAGTTCTATTTACAATAATAATTTTAATGCATTCAAAATTTTTATTTTCAAAATCACTCTCAACGTATTTTACGGCGATTTATCATACCCCGTAGCTACTCGAGCGCTGTTGTGGAGAGTTTTTGAACTATTATTCACTGCTTACGGATGGATACATTTTCAACTATTCTCCTATGGGAGATTGTACTCCTTACCTCTATACTCCATGCCTCTAACCTTTACCACTGCTGCCCGTGGGTAAAAAACGTCTGACGTAAACAAGATCGTATACCGCCATCTATCGGAAACCGTAAGATTTTTCTAGATTATAGCCATAGCCGCCTCTTACGGCGCTAACAACTAACATACGATGAAAAACATATTTTGCTATACCTATTAAAATTTGTTTCGAGAATGGTTGTTAACCCGGCGGATTTTTTTAATATTTCAATTTACAATGTATTATTTTATACAATTACTATGAAAACATTTGGAAACAGCGTAGTACAGATCACCTCATTCCCAGGGGTGATTATTAATCATGTATGCTTTAGTAGTATAATATCCCTTATTAAACAATTTTTGCTTTATAAAATTTTAAAATACTTTTGATAGATTGGAGTCGAGTAACTGGTGTATACTTGTGCTTGTTCCTAGTTACTTACCTGGTTAAGCCATGCTGCAGCTGTATTAGTAGATAGCATAGTTGTAGCACGAATAAATCAGCTCGATCTGGGAAGGAACACGCTCACAGAATACCAGCGCAAAATAGCAACTCAACGCTACTGTGTTTCGTACGGTGAGTGTAGAGAACCGGATACCAATTTTACTGGAAACGAGGCATTCTATCTTCGTCTCATATATTTATTTATTTTTTAATATATATTTACTCCCGTTCATCAATTGGATTCCCCCCACAGATTGTCAAATAAGTTGGATATTTGCCATAGTTGTCACGCTTGGCATGCGAGTTGCCAACTGCATATTTTATTATTTTGAGCTCTGATCAGGAGGACACTTCTGCCCATCTTCTGTAGATTTCTATTCCCGTTCATGAATTTAGCTCTTCTCACACGTTCACCATAAATAGAACTACATCTATGAAATTTTGAAGTCTACTCGAACGTAAAAACATATTGGCATGTATTTTATGGGTATAATCAATATTCAACGGGGCGAATATTAATAAAGACCGTGAAATTCAACATTATTTTGTCAAAACTGTATCAACTTTAATTATGAATATTATGTAAATAACGCATTTCTGATTCCAGGGAACGGACCCTTCCCCTTCACAAAAACACATCGGAAGACGAGCCCGATATAAAAAAGGTGTTTCTAGACGTATTTTGTTAATGTAATTCTGATAAACTCACTCATGTGTTTCTGTAGCATATAATATTGCCAAATTTCAATCATTTCCTACGTCCTGTATAGACACAGATACTCTCTACAAATGATCTAATTTTGCTAATTTTAGTACGAAATACTATTATTGATTAAATTCAAGTCCACGCGAGCGAAGCCACGGGTAAAAAAGCTGGTTAAAAAATATAACACTTCCAAATTTAAAACGATATATCCACTATTATTTCTTCTGCGGCTACAACTTCCGGGTACTACCGGGTAATTCTAGCTGCATTAAATAAAATGAAAAGTAAACATTACAAACATTTTTATTACAGTAATTAGTACATTAATTTTGGACTGCAGTCAATAAAAATTACAAATAAAAAATAAAACATTACAATTTTACGTACAAATATTATATATGTATTTATCATGATGTTGGTTGTTTAATAATATCTACTACTAACAACGCAACAAAATCTTCTTAATAAAAACTAGAAAATAAAAACATCAGGTGCTAACTCACTGTGTGGCAACTATGTCATATATTCTGTGTGGTAATGGGAGGCATAATATGTTCAGCAGTTGACTTTGACAGTCTGCAATGAATGACGAATGAATGAATACAGAGATTACATTATCTATTAATTACATATTCACCTGACGTAAGCCTGAATAGTACGCGTTCAGTTATTTTACACTTATTTCTGACTTATTTTAAATTTTGTACTTCAAGTACTTAAGTGATGTAAATAATATGAGGAGACAAGTGCAAGCTAGATTAGTAGATGTAATTGATATCGGATATTAAATCAGCATTAAATACTTTAATAAGTTAAAAATGAAAAATCTGCGTAGTTTTTAATTTTATCGAGTAGATTTTTTGTAGAAAAAACACTACATCCAAGTAATCTAAAAGCATTTCATTTTTAGATTAAGGTAGACAAACTAGCACTAAGTCCACGTGATAGTAAGTGGATACTGTGGCCCAGACATTTACATCAACTCCGATTAAAAGTCAAAATACAGTAGCGTTGTCATCTGAAAACCTTTGAGGACTAAGATGGAATGCCTTATCACCAGTAAAAGAGGTTTCGGTTTTCTACACTCACTATACGAAACCTTAGCTTCTGTTTTTACACGTTTTTCTGTGAGAGCGTGGTTCTACCCCGATCGATTCGTGCTGCAGCTATGACTTTGCCACGTAAATTTTACACTAATGTTTCATTAACGGATAAGACTTTTGATTATTTAAGTAATAGATTATTTTCTTGGTACAATATTTAAATAAATTTTTTCCTTCGGTCCAATTATGGGGAGGTTCGGTGAAAACTCCAATACTTTGGGAGTTTTCTTCGACGTTTCAATTCTAAATTTGGAAAGCAGCTTGGTTATGCACATGCGAGACTGAACTTTAGCAAATCGCATTCCTGTAAAAAAAAAGGTAGTTCATACGTCAATAACACGCCCAATAATACAAATCATACATTTTAAAATTAATTAAATTAAATTAATATCTGTAAGTTTTATAATATTTTTTGTTTGTAATGTGTATTAGGTTAGTTTGAAATCTGTAATATTTTGAATCAGTCCTAAGTAGTAATATTACGGGAACTATCTTACAAAGTGTCGATATTGAGCGTTCAGAATACATTCATATATTTATTTACACTTTATTGCTTATAATAAAATAATTTACTAATAAGGATTACAAAGGGTGCCTCTAGGCGTTATCTCTCAGTCAAATTGTAGCGTGTAGTATTGTGTGATAGGTGTGAAAACTAGAAGGGAATGTAAAATAAGCAATACAACAACGATATTACGTACTAAACAAATAAATATATATGCAAAAACAGATACTTATGATAAAATACTAATATACTATAACATATAATACCTTATATATATATATATATATATATATATATATATATATATATATATAATAAAGGTGATGCAGTTATTAAAAAGTTTGTGGTTTTGGTGTTAACCTGAGAAACACACTTTTGCATAGCGAAAACTAGGTACTATAAGATACTGTACAAGCATAAGTTTTGTCATAAAGAGAGGCAGATTTATAAATGTATATATACATTCATACCATTCCATATTTTCATTCATTTTTTCCTTTTATAAAGATTACTACAAACACTCAGACGAGCTGTGATAGCTCCGGGGCTAAGCGTTCGCCGTAATTTCACAACCAAGCTATTTCTAACATTACTATTTGTATAGTAAACTAACTGTGGCCCGCGGTTTCACCCGTGTATATCACGCGTCTGAGCCGCGCGATACGACATCACGCTAACAGTTCACGCTGGTTTCTCTCGGTTCTCAACGGGTGGCTATGGGTCGTTCGCGTCAGTTCGCGTACCGAGCCGAATGTTGATTTATTTTAATTTTTAAATATCTCTTAAACTACGCGTCCAAATAACATGAATGTCCAAATGACATCTTAAGAGCAAAGTTTATCTTCATAAAATTGTCTTGACGATAAAGTAAGTTTTGCTCGCAAGGATTAATATGTCATGGCAAATAATAAGGCTTATAAATCACTATTTAATTTTCAATATTTTTTCTAAGAAAATACCTTATTGTAGCTTATGTATAAGAAATAGGCAAAAGACCGCGATATCATTCGCGGTCTTTTTTTGATGGAAGAAAGATACCATATTTTTGTAGAACATTGTCTTTACGTATAACCATTACTCCATGAAGCAGTTCACGAGCGATTGATCTTCCCACTTGCTTAACAAAAATTTGTATTTAAGCCAAGCTGAGAGGTGTAGCCTAATGTTAGATATAATATTCCTTATGAATCTGGCTATCATATTATACAAAGAGTTTTTAAAATCGGACCGTTGGTTCCAGTGATTAGCGTGTTTAGGCAAATAAAAAGTGCAGTACGAGGCGTCTCGCACTTTTAACACTGCTCTTCCAAGACCTTAGCTGAGACTACAAGACTTTCACATTTCCTATAGTTACCTCTTACGACACCTAGAATAGAACCTTTCATGCCGCCACCATACATAATATTTTTATGACATATTTTATAATTTATTATTGCGTCCAAATATAATAATGTCAACTAAAACTAAATTTAAAAATAATAATTAATTCTTACCGATGCAGTTTCTTGGACCGACGCCAAATGGCATATAAGCACAAGGATGTCGGTTTCCGACATTTTCTGGAGAAAATCTTTCGGGGTCAAATTTTTCTGGATCAGGGTAATACTTTTCATCACGGTGGATACCTAACGGCGATACAAGTACAATTAGCCCTTTATTAATAGTTACTTTTGTGCCTGGTATTGTATAATCGACTTGAGCCCTTCTTTGCAATGGTTCTACTAAAGGGTACATACGCAATGTTTCATCGAACACTTTTTCCATATATTTCATATCATTTAATGTTTCATATGTAACTTCACCGTTATGCCTTTGAAGAACTTCATCTAATTCCTTCATTAATTTATCCTGTACATCAGGATTCTTTGCTAATTCATAAAGCATAAATGTCATCGTTGTAGCACTAGTTTCATATCCAGCTACGTAAAATACAAATGCCTGAGCTGCAATAATATCATCAGTTAATTCTATAGTGTTTTCTTCTTCTTCATCACTTTTCTTAGTGCTATTAATTTTACGGTGTTGCCGTAATTCCAATATTAAATCCATAAAATCTTTCCTATTTGTTGGCATAGAATTTCTTTGTGCTATGACACTTTTAACTAAGTGATTAAAGAAATTTTTAATTTCACTGGGTAAAAGGGAACTATTAAACTTTTTAAAAATTCCTGGGTACATCATATCTAGTTCTCTTGCGTATGAAGGTTTGAAAAGTATTTTGTTTATTCTTTCAAGGGTTTCCATTTTACCATTTAATGTATCAATGTCCAAACCAAACGCACAAGCAGAGATCGTCGCTATTGTATATTTCTGCACGAGTGTATGGATTTCGTGTTCATGTTTGTCCAAACCACTAATGTAATCGACGAATTTATCCCCTCTCTCATTCATCAAGTAAATCATGTTCTTCAGTTTCCCAGATGTAAAAAGAGGTGTAAATCGATTTCTAAGCATGTACCATATGCGGCTATCGGCATGAAATAAATTGGCACCGAAGCCCTCTTCACTAAAAGAAATGCCGCGATCAGAAAAACAACCAAAGTCTTTAATCATCACATGTTTGATAACATCTAAATCACGCAACAGCAAAGAAGGTGTTGTCATTCTATAAACGCCAACTACTTTTTCGGCGGGGTAACTATTGTAAATTTCTTTAAAAACCACGCCGATATTCATTTTTCTCAGTGTTGACAACTTTAAATTACCGAAAAAGGCTACTGGTGTTGGGCCGACTACATTTCGGTCTTTCCAGTAATTAAAAGTTCTTGTAAAATAGTAATACACTAAATAAACTGATAATATTAATAAAATCGAAACCTGTATTAGTTCCATACTAACTACTTATGACCGTCTCACCACTATGTAAGTAACGTAAACAACTATATGAGACTGTTTATATACTATAATTTGTGTCCGCTATTAAAATTAGAGATGGGCCGAATATTCGTTTCATATTCGGTATTCGACATATTCGGCAGCTTTACCAAATATTCGTATTCGGCCGAATATTTGGTTAAATCACCGAACATTCGTTTAAGTGGTACTCAGTGTCCACTGTATTGAAATGTGTGAATGGAGCAATGCCATGTTTTTCATAATTTTACTGTTGAAAGTATATTTTATTTATGGGCTAAATCTACTTGAAATGTTATGTTTTTGAGGCACTGTAGATTTATTTCCAATTATAGCGAATAGAAAGCTTGATAAAATATTTTTGGAATCAAACAAAGAAACATTACATTACATAAGTACATTTCACTTTACTTTGGTCGTCAGTTTCTCTAAAATAAGTCCAAATAGTAGATCGCATGCCATTCAGTTTTCATCATCATATAATTATCAATTTTCACTAAGAATAACACAACGAAATACTTTTTTTCTGACCAAAATAGTCAAAACATGTTATGTACCTGACATGTTATTAAATGCTAGATCATGTAATAACATGACAGGTGTGGCGGGGGAGCGAAGGGCAGGGTCCGCGGCTAATCCCGCACGCTGTACGGCAATAAGTTTCGACATAAATTGGTTAGGCACCGAGATGATCCTGCCGAATAATATTCGGCCAAATATTCGTATTCGGTGAAATCCATATTCGGCCCATCTCTAATTATAATCAATGAGTCATAATCACTACGCTCTGATAAAAAAAGTTGGTTTTTTTTAATGATAGTCCACTATCATCAAGTCAAGCTAAAGAGATAAAGGTACTGTGAAGATTATTTTATTAAGTATAAAAACAAGTGATTTAAACAAGTGATATAATAAAGGAGTGAAAAATAATATACCATGTGTTTTTTTTTATTCCTACATTGTCATCTGATTCTGAGCTATGTTCATAATTTCAAATCTTCATCTTTCAAAGCTCATCTGGGGTGTTCGAAACTTGAGTTGCTAGATTCCACCCCGAAACAAAGATTTAAATAGTTAGATGCGCCTTCACCTTGAAAACTGTGGCATTATTTTTGGATGTGTTCGTTTGCAAGACGCTGACGCGCGCACACTAACGCAATAGTGTCATCTCTTATTATCTTACAGAAATTGTGTATACTACTTTCTCTGTCGCACAAATGAGCACTGATTGCGAATGAGTGAGCTCACTCATTTGAGAATGGACACATTTCAGGGTGGTCATACTGTGGTAAGGGCGCATCTAACTATTTAAATCTTTGCCCGAAAGACAGACCAACAGACAGACAAATAAAATAGTGACATAAAAGAATGTGGTGATATTATTCTTATAGTACAACGATTTTATATATTTATTTATTATTAGCTTTAAGGAATTAAACAAGGGAGGTAAGTTTGTAATAAAATCCGTGAAAAATTCGATAACATGAGAAAAATATATTCTAAAATTGTTAGCAGTACTAAATCCCATTTAGGATGTAAAAATAGTACAGAGGGCGAATATTGTACAGAAATTAGCTTATTTTTTTAGACAAAGCTATGAAAATGGGCAGCTTTTACATTTTTTTCGTTTCTTGTGTTTCGAAAATCATTCATTAAGAGAATGGAGTCTCTTAAAAGGTAAAGAGGTAACTATGGGAAATGTCTAAAGCCTAACTATAAGACGAAATGGGATGCTGGGTTTTCTATCGTATCTCCTTTTGGATCCACTTGACAATGTCCCGCTGGTTTTTAAAATTAAATTTTTATTTACGGTGATCAGATACATTTAATGAGGCAATTTTATAAGATTTTGTAAGATTTTCCTACATTTATAGCCATAGCCGTATACGCCGCTAAATTTCGGTGAAAAACATATTTTGCTATTCTTGTTAGAATATGTTTCGAAAATCCTTGTATGTTCAGTGACGTAGTTTTACATTTAAAGAGATGAAAGCAATACTTTGAAAGCACGTTTAAACGAGAGGAGGCGTCTGAAGTAAAAAAATCAGAAATTTCAAAATAATAAAAGGAGGTAGCGAGAAATGTATGGATTCAATAATTAATGCAAAAAAAGCATGAAAGTAGGAAAAGCAGCTGGATAAAATAAAGTATTACTAGAAATACTAATGGCTAGAGAGAAAGTAGTGACAAAGCCTGGTGTACGTCATCATCGTCATCATTAGAGCACATGACAAGTTCACTGCTGAACATATACCTCTACCAAGGAACGCCACAAAGTGCGGTCCTGAGCCACCTGCATCCATTGTCTTACTAGTTCGACTCCATCTAGTGGAGTGCCCGCTGTACCCTTTCCTTAATTTATGCTGGGAAACTTAAGTAAGTTCTTTCATAGTATAAAGGTGACAAACGAGCACACAGTCCACCTGATGGTAAGTGGTTGCTGCAGCCCATAGATAGACATCTACCTCAATCCTCGATCACGAATCAAAATGTAAAAGCGTTGTCACCCGCGAGGACTAAGATATAATGCCCCTTTCCTGTAAAAAGTGTCTCCGGTTGTCTATACTCACCATTTGTAAAATAGCAGCGTTGAGCTGCTATTTTACGCTGGTATTCTGTGAAAACGCGGTCCTTCCCCGGTAGAGCCGACCCATTCGTGCTACAACTAATATAGCTACAGCATGGCTCTACCACGTAAAAAAAGAGATTGGAGTAAAGGAATTATAGTCCCGCTGTATAAAGGAAAAAAAACTATCGTAGCGTTTTCGAAAAACTGTATACTAAGTGTTGATTGAAAGTGTTATGAAAGAAACTGATGGATGAATTTGAGATATGCAAACTAGATTTAGATGGAAACTTTCGAAGTAGAAGAATGTGCGTTAAGAACGAGGATCAAGTCATGTTTGCTTAGTCGGCGGGCGGGTTGCAAACGAAATTACATAACTAAAAGTAAAGGAAATGAAAATGAACGCAGGTGAGATGAATGTAATGGTTTTTTTAAGTGAAATAAGAATAGAAAAAGAGTTGCTTTAGCAAGTGGATGTGTTTTTGTACTTAGTGTCTTATTAAACACACGACGTGTTTGCTTAACGTGCTTAATTGACATGTATATAGAACGACGAGTGAATGCAGAACATATAGAAAATGTAAAGTTGTCTATTGTTTGAAATCTGTCGAAATTTGTTAAAAATAAGTATAGAAATTTTCAGTTCTATGTTAGTGCCTACCTTAATGTATGATCTTTGATCATATACTTGTATATAATCTAAGTGTATGACAGATATGTATGACAAATAAAGTTATAGGTGTGATAGAGAAGCACGAAGCATTAAGGAGTATGTTAGGGGTGACTATGAATAATAGGATGAGAGGTTTGCATAAAGATGTTTTGACCATGATTAAAAAAGGAACGCTTCAGAAGTTTGGACTAACAACTTTTTTTAAAAGTATTATATTATTTTCAGTGAACACACAGATTGTTTTACATGCTAACATAATAGAGAAAAGCTTAATAACATTATAAAACACATTTATCAATACAGCTGTATTTGCAAATAAAGATTTAATTTAATTTGATTACTTAATCTAAATTAAAATCAAATGTACATAATATACAATTTAAAAGTAACTACTGTAATTTTCAAGAAATAGTAGTATTATCAAAAAGAAGCAAACATAGCCCTTACATTAACATTAACCTAACAATAGCGTTACTGTGTTCACATAAGTCATAACCTAAATGAAGGAGCGCCCATTATTCCATTGAAAGAGCGTCATTCCATCAGGCCCTTGCCTTTGCCTCGTACTGTGCTATTTAGCTTTAAAACAAAAGTACGCTGACTATTACGTCATTAATAACGTCATAATGAAGAATACGAAGACGCTAACATGCCGTGCGGACAAGTTGTTTGTTATTAATCGTAAAGTTAAGGTGTTGCTTAAAGAAGTTATGTCAAGGAACTATTAACGCTACATTCACCAAAGGCACTACACATCACATCCGACATTTCCTGTATACGCAGTTCTTTATTGTAAGTTTTTTTGGAAACTTTAGGGAAAGAGGGACCCTGGTCCTGGCCTTAGCCAAGCGCGAGATATTGACACCATTGAGTGACAGATTAATTTTAGGTAGTTGGTACCATCATTTAATATACAAGGTTATTTTTCAAAGAGTAGCAAATCTTAAACTTAAGTTCAAATATATAAATAATGATATAATTTTATTGCAGTTTTTGAAAATACCAGTAAATAAGGCCTCTACTTTTATTTGAAATTATCCCAAATTGAATGTGACCGATCGAACCTTACGTATGTGCGCAGTAATATCAGTTAAAATAGAGCAATACCACGCATTTTTAATTTATAAGATAAAAAGTACAGAATATTTGACATTTATTTATATTAATTTTTCTTCACCATTTGCCTATTTATTAACCTTCTCTGTTATTGCAAAATAGCAGTTGCACCATCTGAGTCCTCATTGGTGATAAAACATGCACATTCATTTTAATCGATATAGATGTAAGTATTAGCATCAATGGCGAGTACATCACTCACCTTCGATTTGCCGACGATATAGTCTTTATGGCAGAATCGCTGGAGGATCTAAGCGCTATTCTCAATGACCTCAATAGTGCCTCCCAACGGATAGCTCTTAAGATGAACATGGACAAAACAAAGATCATGTTTAATGTCCATGTCACACCTATGCCGGTAGTTGTTGGGAGCACTATTACATAGTACTATTATTTATTCTGTGTCACTATGCTCGAAGTTGTTGACGAGTACGTTTACATGGGACAAATAGTTCGACTAGGTAAGTCAAACTTCGACCCAGAGGTCAATCGACGGATTCAACTCGGCTGGGCAGCGTTCGGGAAATTACGACACATCTTCTCGTCAGGTATACCTCAATCTCTGAAAACTAAAGTGTACAACCAGTGCGTGTTGCCAGTGATGACTTACGGATCTGAAACGTGGTCCTTCACTGCTGGCCGTATGAGGACGCTCGGAATTTCTCTGCGTGATAGACTCAGAAATGAGGATATCCGCAGTAAAACCACAGTGACCGACATAGCCCAACGGATTAGTAAGCTGAAGTGGCAACGGGCCGGCCATATAGCTCGAAGAACCGATAACCGATGGGGAAGAAAGGTTCTCGAGTGGTAGCCTCGTACCGATAGGCGTAGTGTAGGGCGACCCCCCACTAGAAGGAGTGACGACCTGGTAAGACATGCAGGAAGTCGATGGATGCCAGTGGCTCAGGACCGTGCTTTGTGGCATTACTTGGGGGAGGCCTATGTTCAGCAGTGGACTTGCGAAGGGCTGTAATGATGAACGATGAGACGTAAGTATCTATAGGCCACAGTATCCACGTACCATTGAAGGTATGTGTGCTCGTTTGTAACCCTTAATTCAAAAAGAAGGTTCTGTTCCGTATAGATCACATAAATAAATAAAATCAAATTGCAGCCAAAATACGTTTGTAGCACGGATTGGTCGGCTTGACCGGAGAAGGGCTCGCTTCCATAGAATACCAGCGTAAAAGCTGTTAACACACAATGTTATGGAAATAAATATAAAGAGTATGTATAATATGGGTTTTGATATTAATAATTTTAGGATAGTTTAACAAATTGATTTTTTAATATTACTATATATCGCACGCGGACGTCCATTCCGGCTCACTGAAAATCAGGACTGTTGTTCAGGCGACAGCGTAAGTTGAGTGAGGTCCGTTTGCCTGACGCGCAACAACTCATAACATGAGGGACATTTTTTATTTATATTTTACTATAATTTATAAATATATACATACTTTTTAAAGAAAATTAGAAGTAATAATATTAAAAAATATTAATGTTATTTATTTTAAATATTATTTTTCTTTATTTTTTTATAGAGATAAAATGTAAACAAACCCTAAAAGATATTTTTTTAATAAATCATTATTATTTATTACAATTTACATTATATTTATAAACATAAATAAAAAATATCCTATAAATTAGAGATGCGCCGAGTAGCGCTCTTGCCGAGTAACGAGTACAGAGTTTTACTCGGTTCAATTTTTTTTAACCCAGTACTCTGCTGAGTAACTCGGTTCAATGAAATTCCTGTTTTGGGCGCGTAAACAAGTAGAAACAATAGAGCTCGATGATCCTAAAAGCCCCATTGCTTAAGAATTAGATCGCTATTTAAAAGAATATTTGTTGGCAAAAGACAAGACTTCTTTCGAGTGATAAGTAGGGCACCAAACAAGGTATTTAGAGCAGGCACGTTTAGCACGAGTGTTTCTATGTGCACCTGCAAGCACCGTGTACAGCGAGCGATGATTTTCAGAGGCTGGTAACGTCTACTAAGAAAAAAGAATAGGCTGTTTCCAGAAAGTGCAGAGAGCCTTGTGTTCCCGCATCACAATTTACCTTTATTAAATTTTAAATATTGATTTTTTTTCATTATCCTTTTCCTAATTTTGTCTCATTACTACTCATTCATTATTGAGTCTGGCTCGGTGCCTCGTCGCGTGCGCACGAAGCCCGCTCGCAGCAGCGCTTGCGCGTAGTGTAGTATACGTTTCCAACGATGACTTCAACAACTGTTAAGTGTGCAAACTGCAACGTAGTTATCTCTGAAGTACTGGCCTTTATTCAAAATAAAATACAGGTCATGGATGAAGAAAGTATACGACGTATATGTAGCAGTTCTTTCACGGTTGAAGAAGTGGCAGAGGCGAAAAAGCTGCTGTTTGAGTCCATCTCGACTTCAGCACGAAGAGTTATCAGGAAAGGCGAAGGCAAATTAGTAAGGGACTTGGAGGACATCATATGTCTTTTTAAGGAAACAGACCCAGACATTACCCCCATATTTGTGGCAAGAAATTTAAATAAACTACCTCCCGTTACTTTTGATTATGTGGATGCTTCAAAAATTTTAAGAGATATGAATGTACTACAACATGATTTGAAGTTATTACAAGATACGTATGTGTCTAAACATGAGTTTACTCAACTCAAAATTGAGTTGGATAATCTGAAAAGTACATCGGCAGTAAATAACTTCAATATTAGCCGACGACGGAGAGGCGCTTGTTTGCTGAATGACTCTGATATCGATAGTGGCCCTATGGGTCTACATTTCACCGAACATGGAGAATCCCCTGATAAGGAGAAGAAAACATCTTCGAATAGCTCGAAAGTGGAGGTAGACCTGCAAAAGAGTGAGAATCGATTATCGGAAGCCGTCACGGTAGCTTGTGAATGCAATGAGTCACCCTCGCAGCCATTGACGCACGTACTAACGGTATCGGGGCGCTCGGGTGATGTAGGCGATAAGCTGAGTGCGACTGCTACGAAACATAATCCGATGCAACAAACGTCTATTGCTGAGGAAAATGTAAAAACGGGAAATGAATGGATTACGGTGTCAAATAAAAAGAAAAAGGAGTCAAATCGATATGGCAATAAAATGAGATTGGCAAGTCAAGTGTCGAATTTCAAATCGGCAGATATAAAAGTGCCTATATTCATTACAAATGTGCACAAAGATACTAAGGCAGGGTCCATAAGTGAGTATGTATACAAACAGACGAATGAGAAAATATCTCTTATTCCCCCCCCCCCTAAAATATCTCAGCGCAAAGAAAGGGGTTATAATGCGTTTAAAATGTTCGTCCCAAGGCATAAACTATACATATTCCTCGACGAGCAACTGTGGCCTGAAGGAATAGTATTCCAACGCTTTGTTAATTTCAATTCTCACGGAAATCAACGTGCCGAGGCTAATAAACCAAGATCATAATGGACAGAAATGATAAAGCCATGTCTTGTAACCGTTTTGTTACATATAATTGTAAATCTGTAAAAAGAGCGGTCGAGGGGTTCCGTCAGCTATGTAAGACAGCTGACATAATAGCTCTTCAAGAGACGTGGCTGCTGCCGCATGACCTGTCGTATCTTGAGAATATTGATGCTGATTTTGGAAGCACCGGGACATCTGCTGTGGACACGACGACTGGAGTATTGGAGGGGCGACCCTATGGGGGGGGGGTCGCGCTGCTGTGGAGAAAAAGAGTGTTCCCTTGTGTATCCGTAATACCGTGTTCAAGTGCTCGTATTTGTGCCATTAAAGTTGATCTCGGTAATCAAAAGCTAATAGTGTGTAGTGTGTATATGCCCGTTGATTGCACTGAAAACTTAACAGATTTTACAGACTGCTTAAGCTATTTAAATGCTATAGTAGAAGAAAGTGAATGTGAGACAGTGTTCCTATTGGGGGACTATAATGCTCACCCAGGGCGGCCGTTTTATGAAGAACTGAAAAACTTTTGCGCGGAACAGGACTGGTTTTGTGCCGACGTGAGTACCCTAGACTGTAATTCATTTACATACGTCAGTGACGCGCATGGGACTGGGAGGTGGTTAGGTCACTGAGTCAGCGTATAAGTTAATAAATAACACGAAGATTTTATATGATGTGTACTGGTCTGACCACTTCTTGATTGAATCTAGGTTGAACTATGTTATACCTAAGGTTGTTCCGAAAATAATCGCGTGCAATAAAATAAAATGGGGCTGCAGAAATGATGAACAAATAACTCATTATACGGAATTATGTAACAACAACCTTAAGTAAATACATTTTCCATCAGAATTTATAAAATGTAGCTATGGTTTTTGTGACGATATGAGTCATAGGAGTGTCATAGACAATTTATATAAAAACATAGTGTCTGTTTTATCATGTGCAGCAATCAAAACTCACCAAGGAAATATGTGTAAAAAGAAAAAACGTGTGCTAATAGGGTGGAATAAGCATGTCAGTGAGGCACACAGGGAGGCTAGGTCCAAATTTATGATGTGGGTATGGTATGGTCGACCGAGGCAGGGGTTTGTCTATGATGAGATGGTTAACAGCCGCCGTGTTTTCAAG